AACCCGGAGATGGGATCTTCCTTCCAGGGGGTTGGTTCTCTCTTCTGCAGCACCATGTCCATTCCATCGGCTGGCAAGTGAGCGGCTTTCCTGAGCCCCCAGCTGCCTCCCTGTATCACCCAACCCTCCTGGTTCCTCCCCAAGGCCCCAGCTGGCTCCCTCCCCAAGAACAAGCAAATAGTTAGTAAATTACCCCAAATAGTTGGTAAGTTACTGATATTTAGGGCCCTCTAGAGCCCTTTTCAGATAGCTAACAGGTGTTCATTGACTAAAATGATGCCTACGCAGAGTGTTAAATATCTTCAATATTTAATTAAACTTCACCACATGAAAAGTGGGCAAACACTCAGGCCTAATCAAAAGGGTTTTCCCTAACACATTACAGGGGGAGAAGGGAAGCTCACATTTCTTTGCTTGGCCCTATGCTGGGGCATTCAGTGGAGTAGTTCATTTAATCCTCTTAAAGGTCTTACAAGGAATAGGCTAATCTCCCTTGATGGGGAAGGAAACTGATGCAGAAAGGCTAAAAAACAGCCAGCCGGAACATGACAAAGGCATGAGTTTCTTTTATTTTTTTTAAGATTCTTATTTATTTATTTCAAAATCAGAGTTATACAGAGAGAGGAGAGGCAGAGAGAGAGAGAGAGAGAGAGAGAGAGAGAGAGAGAGAGAGAGAGAGAAAGTCCTCATCTGCTGGTTTACTCTCTATGTTCACAATGGCCGGAGCTACACCAACCCGAAGCCAGGAGCCAGGAGCTTCCTCCATGTCTGCCACACAGCTGCAGGGGCCCAAGGACTTGGGCCATCTTCCTCTGCTTTCCCAAACCATTAGCAGGGAGCTGGATCGGAAGTGGAGGAGCCAGGACTCCAACCAGCACCCATATGAGATGCTGGCATTGCAAGTCTCGAAGGCTTTACCTGCTACACCACAGTGTCATCCCTCAAGTAGCATCTTAACTGCAAGGCCAAGTGCCTGCCTTCAAGGTTATTTTAAAAACATGGCACGGTGGAAAAAACAAAAACAAACACCATGGCGGGGCCAGTGCTGTGTCCCTGCTGCTCCACTTCCCATACAGGTCTCTGCTATGGCCTGCGAAAGCAGTAGAAGATGGCCCAAGTGCTTGGGCCTGTACCCACATGGGAGACACGGAAGAAGCTCCTGGTTCTTTTTTGGATCAGTGCAGTACTGGCCATTGCAGCCAACTGGGGAGTGAACCAGAGGATGGAAAACCCTTCTCTCTGTGTGTGTGTGTGTCTGCTTCTCTCTCTGTGCAACTCTTTCAAATAAATACAATAAATCTTTAAAATGAAATACAAAACAAAGCAAAACAAAACACTGGCATAGTCATTAATTGATGATAGCAGATATAAAGTCAAACATATAGTCCAATCTTATCTCTGGTTAAAAGAAATTCAGAAAGGTATGTATTTTTAAAACATGGGATTTAAGAGATTATTTTATAGCCTGATTGTGTCCGTGAGCTCCTGTTTAGGGACTGGCACATGGAAGGTGCTTAGTAAATGTTACTTTCCTGCCACCTCCAAGGTCATTTCTGTATCTACATACAGCACAAAGTACTCTTTCCTACAGGATGATGACTGAATTAAAAATTACCAGGTATGGATTAAAACAAAAGGGAACTCAACAAAATATTACAAGTAGTTATTCCTGGGCAGTAGGATTTGGGAAGCTCCAAAGTTATACCATGTCTTCATGTATTCATGCATTCAAATTTATTTACTCTTTCATTGATCTCACAAATCAAAAGGAGTATTAATTCTGATTGATAGTGAGCTATGGCACATTCTAACACATTAGATCCTTAAAGGACTGGTTTTAGGAACACAGTAATAGAGACGCAACCTCCCTGGGCTTGTTCTCCTTCTCCCTTCAAAGAAGTGTACAACACAACACAGTCTTTTGGTTTTCATTAGAGGCTCCAAATGCCAGTCACAAGAGCTGTCAAGCTGTGGGGCTGGGCCAAACATCCTCGGCTAAGACCTCAGGGAGGCCCAAGAGGCCACTGGGAAGGAGTCTCAGAACACTTGGGCTTTCCTACCACAGTCTCAAGCCCAGAGAACAGTTTCAACAAAGCCACCTGGAAATCCCCTTGCACTCTGGCAAAGGGCGACTGTGTCACTCCAAAGCATAGAGATGGGTTCAGCCTGCACGGAGGGAGAGCAAAGGAACAGGGATACCCTGAGGACCCCACTTGCAGAAGGTCCTACGGGGAGAACTGGAGGCTGCTTACTGTGAGCCTTGCAGGTCTTGCAGCAGGGCACTTGATATGGGGGGTGGGGAGGGTTAAAAGGTAATCTGACCTGGAGGCCCAACACAAAGGTAACCTCACTAAGAGGATGATTTCCCCTAAACACAAATGCCAAGGATGGAACTGCAAGAGGCAGGCTGGAGGAGGCACGTGCAGCAGCCATAGAGAACTGCACAGGAGGATTCCTCTGAGGACCTCCCAGAGACAAACAGTCAGCACTGTGTCTGCGACATACCCAGCTCCCAGACGCCTGGTCCCCAGGCAGCACCCACTGAAGACTACACCCACCTTCCCCTAACTATTCCCACCATTCCAAGGGGTCCAAAAGCAGCTGTTGCTGGGGAACAAGGGAAAAAAGCAGAACGAGAGAGAAGGCACCAACTGCACCCTCTTCCCCAAGCCAGGCTCCTCAGCCCCTTCTCGATGAGACTAGATGATCTGATTTAGAACAAAGCTTATGGGTTATGGCTTTACCAACTGGACTTCCTGACATCTCAGAGTGACTGGGATTACCTATGCATCTGCTTGAAGTTTCACCTGCAGTTAGAGTGGCAGCAGGGAACAGTCTAGTTTAAGGGGGTGACTGATGATAAAATCTAACAGATATCTGGAAAGATTGCCTGACATGAACTAGCGCCACTCTTCAATACCTAAAGGCAACTGCAGGCCTTCAAGGTCTCCAGTGAGACCAGCGTGTCATTTCTGCAGCTCTCCTTACCTGTTGTGCAGGAGGGTGTGATGATGGTCCACCAGAGACTGAGTGAACGAGCCCAGGAGCCCAAGGCTCTCATAAGTGATGCTGTGTGGCCAGAGAACAGCCCACTGAAAGAGAACCAGAGGCACAGAGAAACCATTAGGGCACCTGAAGACTGGCAGGTAGGAAAGAACACCGATTCTACCAAACTAACTACCGGCGAAAGAGGGTCTGAAGGAGGGCACCTGAATCTCCATCCTCTATTTGTAAAAAGTAGCTCCAATGGAAGCTTACGCAGAAGAAACGAGGTGATGATCAGGCTCCATGGACGCGTGAAATGGATCCTATTTTTCTTTTTCTTTTAACTTTTATTTAATGAATATAGATTTCTGAAGTACAGCTTATGGATTACATTGGCTTCTCCCCTCCCCCCCGCAATGACTTCCATCCCACCCGCAACCCTTCCCTTTCCTGATCCCTCTCCCCTTCCATTCTTATCAAGGTTCATTTTCAATTTTCTTTATATACAGAAGATCAGTTTAGTATACATTAAGTAAAGAATCCAACAGTTTGCACCCCCATAGAAACAAAGTGAAAAATACTGTTTGAGTACTTGTTATAGCATTAAATCTCAATGTACAGCACATTAAGGACAGAGATCCTACATGAGGAGTAAGTGCACAGTGACTCCTGTTGTTGACTTTACAAAGTGACACTCCTGTTTATGGCATCAGTAATCTCTCTATGCTCCAGACATGAGTTGCCAAGGCTATGGAAGTCTTTTGAGTTCACTGACTCTTATCTTATTTAGACAAGGTCATAGCCAAAGTGGAAGTTCTCTCCTCCCTTCAGAGAAAGGTACCTCCTTCTTTGAAGACCTGTTCTTTCCACTGGGATCTCACTCACAGAAATCTTTCATTTAGGTTTTGTTTGTTGTTGTTGTTGCTGTTTTGTTTCTTTTTTTTTTTTTTTTTTTGCCAGAGTGTCTTGGCTTTCCATGCCTGAAATACTCTCATGGGCTTTTCAGCCGGAATGGATCCGATTTTTCATGAATTCCACCCCAAACATTATTTCCTAGACTTGTAAGAGTCTGCGTGCTTTGGCCAGCTTCTGTCCTGCAAACGGTGGCTTGGGCTCAATCTCGCAGTTAGAATCATGCTCTTCCACTCTTGCACACCACGCAGACACACTCGGAAAATCAGACTCGCGAAGGTTTAACAGCAACTCCTCGTTCATGTAAGGTTTTTGTGGTGACCTTACCAACTCCTCCTCAGGCTCTGTTGCAAGCCTTTCTGTGAATCACTGTCAACCCCTCCAAGGTTTAGTGCTCCACTTAGATCTGCACCAAAGGCAACACTACTTCTCCCAGGATGCTGTTTAAAGTCAATATTCCAATAAAGTACAACATATCACTGCGGCCTCCTAACCACGCGGTGGAGAGGGGCTGGCATCTGCCAGTTCCACTAAATTCCAACTCGAACCTTCAGTTTCCCAGCTTGTGTGTTCGAACAGGGTCGCGGGATCCTGGCACAGAAAGGGCACTCGGGAAAACTAGAGTCCCATGCCTCCATCCTGCACACGGCGAAAGGAGGGCGGAGGTGGTCAGAGCGACGCCGCTGTGGAAATGACACCCGTCCAGGTTCCAGGATCTCCCGGGAAAGATCCAAAATAGCTTCGCCTTCCTCCTACATGATACCGGTTTACCCCAACCGGTTTCCGGGCGTCTTTCCCCTTCCTTATCCTGGAAGTGAGACGAAAGTCACTCCTCCCCGCAGTAGAGCTGTCCTCCTGCTGTCACACCGGTTCTTGCTCACCAGTGAAATCCTAGCCATCCCTTGGCTTTATCCGCCGTTTTCCAAGCAACTCCCCCTGCTTCAAACACTCTAAACCTTCTAAAACCCGGCTTAGCGTCCGCTGGCATTCGTAACCTAGGCAACCGCACGGTGCGCATGCGCACCGACGCCGTTCCCACGGCGCCCCTGGCGCTACGACAGCCCGGAGGGCCAAAACACCAGCGCCCGCGCCCCGCCCCTCACCGCAAAGTATCCCAGCCCCAGCCCCGTGACCAGCGAGGGCAATGGCTGGCCGTAGGGAAGTAGGCGGTAGCAACCCTTCCGGCCTTCGTGTTCGCAAGCACCATGGCTCTCAGTGGTCTGGTGCGGTGTCGTGCCCGCCCCCACGTGAGGAAAGCCAGGCCAACTGTTTTCGCAGGGCTTGGAACACCTGCCAAAAGCCTTGGCAGTGGACTGCGCCTGTGCCACCTTCCGTGTTCTCCTCTCCTTTCTACTGGGAGGATCCAAGCAGCAACTGTGCCTGCGCGGCCATCCTCCAAGTGGAGGCGGACGCCTGGATGACAGAGCGCTGGCTGCAGGCTGTTGTCCCAACTCCGAGACCCCTACCATGCAGTAGCCAAAGGAGAGCGTGAGGACCGCGAACCAGAACAGACTGCCCCTCTGGAAGCAGGCCGCGTTGCCTGCCATCATCGCCATCGCTGCAGCTCCGTTCTTGGTGTCGCGGCCAGCTGCGCTACTAGTGTGGTGGACGCGGGGCCAGCAGGGGCGGACCTGGGCGGCAGCTCCGCCCAGCCCGCGGGGAGGGAGGAGGGCCCCGGGCTCGCCAAGCACAGGTGGTGGCCCGGCCAGCCCTGTCTTGGCCTGGTCACTATCTGTAGGGGACATCCTTTCCAAGCGTCGCTCTCTGTAACGCTGTCTTTCCAATACATAAATCTTTTTTAAAGAACGATAAATAGGGGCCGGCGCTGGGTTCAGTGGGCTGGGCCACCACCTGTGGCCCTGGCATCCACATATAGGCATCCTTGAACTATGACCACTTGACCATGATGGATCTTTTTGATTGCTGTCAGTTTTGATTTGGCAGTATGTTAAAATTTTTCAGCTATGTTCATCAGAGATATTCACCTATCGTTTCTTGTTGTGTTCTTGTCTGGCTTGAGTATCAGGGTAAGGCTGACCTCCAGCAACGAGTTTAATTTTATGTAAGGTATACAAATTTCATGTATTTCATATATACAGATTTAGGAGCATAGTGATCCTTCCCACCCACGCTCCCACTTCTTCCTCCTCCCTCTCCTAGTCCCAATCTTAATTTTTACAAAGATTTATTTTCAGTTTACTTTATACTCATTATCCCTACACTAAGTAACGAGTTCAACAAACAGTAGAGACAAGGGCTGTAAACCATCATTGCATCTCAAAGTGGCAATTTCACTTCTATAGATAACGTTTTAGATACTCTTAGTTACCATAGGCAGAGTGACAGAGATGGGAGGCAGGAGAGAGAGACAGAGACAACCATTCCATGTTCTGGTGCATTCCCCAAATGCTCACAACAGCTGGGGTGGGGCCAGCAGCAGGCTGAAGCCACAGTCAGGAAGACTCCATCTGAGTTTCCCATGTGGAGAAGAGGAACCCAAGTACTTGGACCATCTGCTGCCTCCCAGGCACATTAGCAGGAAGCTGGGTTGGAAGCAGAGCAGCCAGGACTCGAACTCTCCTCTCCCACATGTAAATTCACACGTAGTGCAGCAGTAGAGGGCTGTACAGTAGCAACACAGGAGTTGTGATGAGATGTCTACAGAGCAGGATGGGTATGCCCCTACCTGACCACACCCCTGTGCCCACCTGCCTATCAGGGTAATTAACCACTCCCCTTTGGAAGTTGATTAAAGGCCTGGGACCTGGTGGGCCAGCCCTTTTTGGCCCTCTGTCTCTTTCACCATTGCAGGCTTGCACATCGTCTTTGGGCCACCTGCTCCTTCCTTTCTGGCAGACATTTTCCTCGACATGGCTGGCTCCTGGTACTTGGTATAAATCCAGATTTCTTAGGCAAGAACCCATGATGCTCATTAATATTGTGAATTCATTAAGAAGCAAACGGTAATATAATTGGCACCCCATACTCCAATAAAAGTTGGCACCTCAGATGGGACCTTTAAGAGGTCTGTCTCTGATTACCTTGGGATCTTACTGGTGTAAGAGCTATTTTTAAAAAAATCAGTACAGGGGCCAGCCATGTGATGTAGCAGGTAAAGTTTCCATGCTATGTGAGCACCGGTTTAAGTTCTAGCTGCTCCACTTTTGATCCAAATCCCTGCTAATGCCCTGGGAAAAGCAGTGGAAGATGGCCCAAGTGCTTGAGCCCCTGCAACCAATGTGGGAGGCCTGGAAGAAGCTCCTGGTTCCTGGCATTGTCTTGGCCCAGCTCCAGCTGTTGTGGACATCTGGGGAGTGAACCAACAGAGGCAAGATCTCTTTCTCTCTCTCTTTCTGGCTTTCAAATAAATAAATAAATAAAATTTTAAAGGTTTTATTTCTTTATTTGAGAGACAGAGTTACAGACAGAGAGAGGGAGAGACAGAGAGAAAAGTCTTCCATCTGCTGGTTTCCTCTCCAAATGGCCAAAACAGCAAGAACTGGGCCAATTCAAAGCCTGGAGCCTGGAGCTTCTTCCTGGTCTCCCATGTGGGTGCTGGGGCCCAAGCACTTGGGTCATCTTCCACTGCTTTCCCAGGCCACAGCACAGAGCCACATCGGAAGAGGAGCAGTTGGGACTGGAACTGGGATGCTGGTGATGCAGGTAGAGGCTCAGCCTACTATGCCCCAGCAACGCCTGTAAATCTTAACAAAGCAAGGTCAATGCACTACTCCGTGAACATCCTGCGAAGCGAAGGTCCACAGGAAAAATATGAAAACTCTCCTGAGTTGTTCAGGTAGAAAAAGAGAGATTGTCCAATAAAGGTTGATGATTTAGAAGGTGAACCCTACGATTGGGCAGTGTGGGAGCTGGTATGTTGACCTTTGCCAGTGATGTCTAAATAATGGCATGAGAATAGAAGTGACTGCCTGGAGCTGGGGAGAGCATAAAAGCAAGTGAATTTACCTGGTCAAAATATTCTTTGAAACAAGTTTAATGGAAGAGGGAAAGGCACCATCTAATGGAAATGCATGGTGCTGAGGTACTGAACTTTGACTTAACAGGAATTTAAAAAAAAAAGGCCAGGGAAAGCAGGCTAGGCCAACTTAATTTTTTTAAAGATTTATTTATTTATTTGAAAGTCAGAGCTTCACAGAGAGAGAAGAAGGGGGAAAAAAAGAGAGAGAGAGAGATCTTCCATCCTCTGGTTCACTCCCCAACTGGCCGCAATGGCTGGAGATGCACTGATCTGAAGCCAGGAGCCAGGAGCCAGGAGCCAGGAGCTTCTTCCAAGCCTCCCATGCAGTGCAGGGACCCAAGCACTTGGGCCATCCTCTACTGCTTTCCCAGGCCATAGCAGAGAGCTGGGTCAGAAGTGGAGCAGCCTGGACATGAACCAGTGTCCATATGGGATGCTGGCACTGCAGGTGGCAGCTTCACCCACTGCTTTACCCGCTACGCATCGGCTCCCCAACATAATTTTAGTTTGTTCTGTCTGAGCCGCTGTCTCCTTTCAGACATCCAGTTCTCAAACTATTCTATGGAGGTGACTGTTTTGAGAATAAAATGAATTATTTCAATGATTTAATTACTGTATGATGTTAGACTTATATTGACTTTTTTTAAGATTTCTTTTTATTTGAAATAGTTACACAGAGAAAGAGAGAGAGAGAGAGAGAGAGAGAGATCTTCTTCCCAGATGGCTGCAACAGGCAAGGCTGGGCCAGGCCAAAGCCAGGAGTCTAGAGCTTCTTCTGAGTCTCTTCTGAGTCTCCCATGTGGGTGGCCCTTGGGCCATCTTCCACTGCTTTCCCAAGCCATTAGCAGGGAGCTGCATGGGAAGTGCAGCAGCCAGGACATGAGCCAGCACCCGTGTGGGATGCTGCCATACCCACTATACCTTAATGCTGGCCCCTTATGCTGACTTCTGAAAACCATTTATTTTTGTGTACCTGAGAGGCTGAGTGAGAGAGAGCAAGAGAGAGAGAGAAACCTTCTGTTTGCTGGTTCACTCCCCAAATGTCTACAACAGCCAAAGCTGGGTCAGGCTGAAGCCAGGAACCTAGAAATGCATCCAGGTCTCCCAGTGTAGGCTATAGGGCCCATGCACCTGAGCCATCACCTGCTGGTTCCCTGGCTACTTTGGTGTGAAGCCGGATTGGGAGCAGAGTAACTGGGACTGGAACCCACACTCTGCTATGGGCTGGGGGCATCCTACGTGGCAGCTTAACAAGCTTTGCCACAATGCCTGCAGTCTTATATTCTTAACGTCCTCATTCGCTGTGAGTCTCTGGCCTCACCAGCCTCCAAACTCTCAGTTATCAGTGCTGTCAGTGATGCAGATCACCTGGGGCCTGGCCAGGGCTAAATGAGAAAATTAGTTACCATGGGTGTTCAGTGAATGGAAGCTATGATTTAAAAATGGAGATTCTGGAAAGCCAGTTGTGCCTAAGGGGAGCTGTGTGTAGGGTGTGGCAAGGGCTGGGTCTAAGGTGTGCCTAGGGTGGCCATCTCAGGTTTATATTAAATGAACGCTGTGCCAGCAGCCCTCACTTCACTAACCAGGAAGAGTGTCTCAGGAGGGCTCCCAGACATGGCTTCCAATGGTGAGTTTCTGTGTGCGGCTTTGTCGGCAAGGCTGGGTTCTCTCTGTCCTGGTGTTCTGTGGGGGTTTGAGCTTTCGTCTTTCAGAAGTGCAGGCTCGTGGTCCAGGGGCCTCTAGTGTTACAGGTGTCACTGTCTCTGGCAACCGAATGGCTGAATGCAGGGGTAGGATTTCCCAAAGGCTCAGGTGCTTAAAAATTAACCCAACTTGGGGTTGCCTTAAAAAGTTTTCTGCATTTTAAAGATGTACCTGGAAGTAGTTTAGGTAGAACAGTGTCTTGGGTTCCCTTCAGAATGAAGACGTGGGGGGTGTGGGGAAAGATGGGAAGGGTAGGGGGAGGAAACAGCACTGGTCATGTAATGCTGGAGCAGGGAACTTCACAGTGTCGGTGGAAAAGTGGAATTCAGAAATGTTTTGGGGCAAAAAAACCTTTGAAACCAAGAATAGGTGTTTCATGATATTCATTTCTCTGAGAACTTCTTCTATTGGAGCCGAGTTAGATTCTCAGGCAGCGCTGGCCGTTGTGGCCATTTGGGTAGTGAAGCAACAGACGGAAGACCTTTCTCGCTCTCTCTCTCTCTCTCTCTCTCACTGAGTAACTCTGCTTGTCAAAAAATAAAATAAAATAATATAAATGCTGGAGTTCTGAAGTCTTGGGTTCTGGCCCTGACTTCTTTCTCTAAACAAGCACTGGGTGAGAGAAGTCCTGGGTCAGCACCAGTCTGTCTTGCAGCTTTTGAGTGTGACATCTCAATCAACTCTCAGAGGCCTCCCAGCTCTAGGAGGTCTTCAGAAAATCCTTGGAAAGTGCCCATGGTGGAGGGGGAGCCCTCTCAGCTCCTCACTCTGTCCTGGAGGCAAAATCCAAGGCCCCAGAACAATGGTGCCCTTAGGGTGTGAAGCCCTTCCAGAAGCTGCTCTGGACCACAGGGGAGGGAGGGGCCTCCCAGGTGAAGATTGTGGGCTCAGCTGCCAGTTTTACTGCTGAGATTTTATTTAAATAAACAAATTTGATTTAAAACAAAACAACAACCAGTGTGTTTTTAAAATGTGTGTTTAGGTATACAAATTGCTGGTCAGAAATACTGGGAACTTTTCCTGTGGCGTTCTAGTGAGTGGCCAGGCTGGGGGTAGGGACCAGATACCCTGGAGCACCTCAGCGATAGATGCTCCCCAGGGAAGTTTTGCTGGGAGCAGAAATAGCTCTTATCCCCTCTTTGCCTGTTCTGAAGGAAAGAGTTCCAACCAACAGTGTGTTCTCTGTTTGAATTTGGGTTTATACAAAATGCTTTACACCAATTATTCATATAACCTGTATGTTTAAAAACATTTATTTATATTCATTTGGAAGGCATAGTTACAGAGAGATAGAGAGAGGGATCTTCCATCTACTGGTTCACTCCCCAAATGGCAGCAAACGGCCAGGGCTGGGCCTGGCCGAAGCCAGGATCTTCTTCCCAGCCTCCCACATGGGTGCAGGGGCCCAAGCACTTGGGTCATCCTCTGCTGCTTTCCCAGGGCTTTAGCAGGGAGCTGGAAGGGAAGTGGAGCAACTGGGACTTCAGCTGACACCATATGGGATGCTGGACTGGAGGCAGAGGCTTAACTTGCCATGAAACAACACCAGCCCTGAATGTATAAGTTTTTTTTCTGGACAGGCAGAGTTAGACAGTGAGAGAGAAACAGAAAGAATGGTCTTCCTTTTCCGTTGGTTCACCCCCAAAATGGGCGCTGTGGCCGGCGCGCTGTTGCAATCCGAAGCCAGGTGCTTCCTCCTGGTCTCCCATGCGGGTGCAGGGCCCAAGCACTTGGCCCATCCTTCACTGCCTTCCAGAGCCACAGCAGAGAGCTGGACTGGAAGAGGGGCAATGGGGACAGAATCCGGTGCCCCAACCGGGACTAGAACCTGGGGTGCCGGCGCTGCAGGTGGAGGATTAGTCAAGTGAGCCTCAGGCCCCGGCACTATAACACTTTTTGAAAATTTTGGGGGGGCTGGTGCTGTGGCACAGTGGGTTAACGCCCTCCCCTGAAGCACCAGTATCCCATATGGGTGCCATTTTGAGAACCGGCTGCTCCACGTCCAATCCAGCTCTCTGCTATGGCCTGGGAAAGCAGTGGAAGATGGCCCAAGTCCTTGGGCCCCTGCACCCACGTGGGAGACCTGGAAGAAGCTCCGGGCTCCTGGCATCGGATCAGCACAGCTCAGGCTTTGCAGCCAATTGGGGAGTGAAGCATTGGATAGAAGACCTCTCTCTCTCTCTGCCTCTCCTCTCTCTGTGTAACTCTGACTTTCAAATAAATAAATAAATATTTTTTAAAAATACACATAGCTCCATTTCACTGCCAAATGCTTAAGATACTTCTTAAAATTTTATTTGAAGGTTTATTTTATTTTTAAAAGGCAGAATTACAGAGAGGCAGACAGAGAGAGAGGGAGAGAAAGAAAATAGGGTGAAGGTCCTTCCATCTGCTTGTTCACTCCCCAGATGGCTGCAATGACCAGAGCTGTGCCAACCTGAAGCCAGGAGCTCCTTCCAGATCTCCCATGTGGGTGCAGGGGCCCAAGGACTTGGGCCTTCATCTGCTTTCCCAGGCTGTGGCAGAGAGCTGGATCAGAAGTGGAGCAGCTGGGACTTGAACCGGTGTCCATATGGGATGCCAGCACTGCAGGCAGCAGCTTTACCTGCTACTCCACAGTGCCAGCCCAATCCAGCACTTCTTACTGGCACCTCGCTGTCATGCTGTCCCCCACAGTCCTGCTCTGGTAGCTACTTGGTGTGCAGGTGTGCAGGTGTGCTCTGGGAGCAGAGGCTAGAGAAAGCTGAAGGAAGGGGAGTCGAGGAGAACAGCAAGGGGCTTTCGGGGTTTGTGTATTTGGAGGTTTGGTGGCTGACTCCCTGACCCTTTCCTCAGCTCTGCTCTCGCTCTCCCCCCTTCTATCTCCCTCTCTCCCTCTCCCCCCTCCCTCTTTCTCTCTCCCTCTCTCCCCATCTCCCTATCTCTCCCTCTTCTCTCCCCTCCCCCTCTCCCTCCCCCTCCCTCTCCCCCTGTCTCCCTCTCTCTCTCTCCCCATGCCTGCACGTTAGCGATGTCCACACTATATTTTGAATGTCACAGTTTCTGTGATGAAGTGTCTCCGGTTTTGCCTTAGGTAGTCTATAGTATGTTCAGATTAACCTTTTTAAAAGACAGAGTGACAGAGAGAGACACACACAGAGAACTGCCATCGCTGGTTCACTCCCCAAATGGCTGCAATGGCCAGGGCTGGGCCAGGCAGAAGCCAGGAGCATGGAACTCCATCTGGGTCTCCCACATGGGTGGTGGGGGCCCAAGCACTTGGCCAGTTTTCCACTGCTTTCCCAGGGGCTTCAGCGGGGGCTGGACTGGTAGAGCAGATGGACTCAAATCATTGCTCATATGGGATGCTGATGTCCTCAGGGGTAACTTAACATACTGCACCTCAACCCCCCAGCAGCTAGGTTATACCCTTTGAAGCAGACATATGAAGGTTGTTAATTTGGTTTGCAGTCCTTGTAAGTTTTTTCACTTAAATTCTGATTTAAGAAAAGCAGGATTGCCTCGTGTCAGTTCTTCTGGTGGCCTCTGCAGTAGAGAACTGTGCCAACGTTGGTTTGTCCATAAGGTCTGCTCCCCTTCCAGCATCCAGGAGATGAGCACATACCGGAGGACAGGATTAGACCTTCGGTGCTTTCCTCCCACTGGCATGTCTGACATGGGTGAAGGATATGACCTGTGGACTTGGTGTTAAATCTTCAAGTGCCATTTAGTTGATTGACACAGTGGAGGGTATGCCCACTTTCGACTTCACTCCATTGAGCAAAAAAGCCCACACAGTGATAACAAGCAATAGGGGTACCAGACCTATCCTCGTCAATCCGTGTTAGTCCTTTCACACTTTGCCCCCATATATTTAAATTATTGTTTTCCAGATTGTTGTCAGCTGGTTTATTTGCATTACCTCAATTACTAGTGGGGCTGAGTGTTTTCCCACCATCTCTGTCTTTGTAGTATATCAATTTTTGCTACAGAAAACCTTCTTCACTCCTGTTACCTTTATGACCTAAATACTATCATCTTCTCACCATAAGTTTCAAAAGATATGCCCACAGTCCATTATTCATTTT